TCCTGCTGCTCCTCCTGCTGCTGCTGCTGCCGTGCTGCAGCAAGTGCTGCAGCAGCGGCAGCACGAAAGCCCCTGTCTTCCCGCTGCCTGTAGCAGCAACAGCAATTACGTCGCGCTGCTCTACTGTACGTACACCCCGCAGCCGCTGCAGCTGCTGCAGCGCCAACGGAATTACTTGCTGCTGCACTGCTGTGGGGCGTTCCCATTTTGCTGCTGCTGCTGCTGCACACATCTCCCGACACAGGCCCAAAGAAGCAAACGTTGCTGCTGCTTCTCCTCCTGCTGCTGCTCCGTCTTGCTGCTGCTGCTCCTGCTGCTGCTCAACGCCCTGCGCCTCAGGCGCCGAGCTGCTGCTGCAGCTCGCGTCTGACGCTGCTGCTGCTGCTGCTGCTGCTGGGTTGCTATCGGCCGAACTCCTCGGCCTCTTCTGCTGCCCCATTTTCCCTACAGCTGCTGCTGCTGCTGCTGCTGTTGTTGGAGCTGTTTGCTGTGTCGCTGCACTTGCTGCAGTAACTGCTGCTGCAGCTGCTTCAGGAGGCTCAGCTACAAACGGAACGGCAAGCAAGGCCACGAAGTCTACTGCTGCTGCTGTTGCTGCTGTTGCTGCTGCTCTTGCTGCTGTTGCTGCTGCTGCTGCTACAGTTGCTGCTGCAGTTGCTGCCTTTAACGTTTCCGCTGCAAAAAGGCGATGCTGAATTCCGGCAGGTCTCGATTGGGCATCCCTGTGGGACGTAGTCTCTGCTGCTGCTGCTGCTGCTGTTGCTGCTGCTGCTGCTGGCAATCGAATTGTCCCTTCCGTCACACGTGAGCATAAGAAATAAACCAACAGACAGTTTTATTTCAAGGAAGCCTTCGGCAGCAGCAGCAGCAGCAGCAGCAAGCGCAGCAGCAGCAAGAGCAGCAGCAGCAGTACCACCAGCAGCAGCAGCATGCAGCCCCACAAGTGACCCATACAGTCCTTCTATTGAAACCCCCCATTGTCTTTTTTTACTTATTACTTTTTTGACAGAAGCAGCAGCAACTTTTGCTGCTGGAGCTGCTCACAGGATGCTGCTGCGGCGGCGTTGCCTGCAGCAGCTGCTGCTGCAGCAGCAGCCGCGGCAA